GGGCCCTCTCGCCTCCTATGGGGGCCTCGGGATTGCGGAGCGCGACAGCGCTGGAATCAATGCTTGGATCCCGAGCGTGCCCGACAAAGCTCTCTCCTCGGTAGCAGTAAAAATAATCGAAGCCTTGCCAGATTCGAGGAAACATGGCGGCATGTTGGCCACCCCGCCCGAGACGTGCCCCTGGGCGTCAACCGCGGCGACCGACACTGACTGAGCCAACATCTCCAGGGAACCTCTTGAAGGAGTGGTTCCCCCAAGCATCTTCGCCCGCTCTGCAAAGGTCACGCTCTTCCACCTTGGAGTATCCCCCTCCTCCTCCTGTTCCCTCTCCTCCCCCTGCTCCTCCTCCTCCTCCTGCTCCTCCTCCTGCTCCTCCTCCTCTTGCTCCTCCTCCTCCTACGCCTGCTCCTCCTCCTGCTCCTCCTCTTGCTCCTCCTCCTCCTCCTCCTCCTCCCCCATGCATGTGCTCCTCCTCCTCCACCTCCTCCTCCTCCTCCTTACTCCTCCTCCCATGTCCTGCTACTGTCGCGCTATCCAGCGCCAATTGCATGGGGCAGTTCAACGACCAAGGACCTCTGCGTAATGGGATCTTTCATGAAATAGCGGGCCCGAGGAGCCGCGACATCCTGGAAAGCTGCGCCGAATGTCACCAGAGCTGGCGTCGCGTCGTACGACTTCTGTATGAACATGCACACCGGGCGCCGGGCAGCGAGGGCCCTGCGGACCTCAAGATCCAACGCGCGACAATGCACTTCCGCGGAAGTCGATGCCAGTTCGAGCCCTCGCCTCGTCAAGCCCAGCGGGTTGGCCCCCGCGCGGGCGGGCTCCGAACGGCGACCAACACCTGGGCGGGCCAGTCAGGGCTCAATCCACCCCTCGCCCCCCACCCCCCCCCCAGCGATCGGGGAGCGGGGGGGCGCATTCACGACCCGAGGGCAGTTCAGCGAAGGGGGGGCAGGGACAGGGTTGACCTAAGGTTCTTGACTCCCCGACCATGCCCCTCCATTGCCAGACTATCCTCAGAGCGGGAATGCTAGAAAGAACGCTTGCCATTACAGTTGATGACCCCCCAGCCCGACCGCGATACGACGACAACTGCGACCCGAGAGGGTCCCACGTGTTCGGATGGTACCCGAGCCGACTCCTGGGGGCGACGCCGAGGACGCAGACGACGACATCGGTTTCGTTGACGACGTTGGCGACATACTACGCCAGCCCTGCTCAGGCCACCTCGTCGCCATGGCTGGGCGCGGCTCCGCACTTGGGACGTGCCCGAGCCAGGACTGCGAGGACAACGAATGAGAGAAAAAACAAACAAAAACGACCAGTGGAGGCGAACTCCGACGACGAATATAACAACAGTCTCCTCTTGTTCGTGGCGGCCACGCGGTCGCCCCTGCGCAACTGTTTCGCGTTGTGGTCGTCTAGCCCTTTCGGGCCTGCCACCTGGTAGCGTTGGGCCCTCGTTCTGATGAAAGACTGCCCCGCTATCTCCCCACCCTCCTCCATCCTGCTCCACCCCCCCCCCCCATCCATGTGCCCCCCCATGCCCCCCTGCCTCCTCCCCTCCCCACCTCTGTGCCACTGTATCTCCCTCCCTCTTCTATCCCTCGGACTCGCCTTCGTTCTGTCTGTATTCCGTCTCTCCCTCCCTCTCTCTCTCTCTCTCGCTCTCTCTCTCTCTCTCCTTCTATCTCTCTCTCTCTCTCTGTTCCCCCACCTCTATCTCTGTATCTCTCTGCATCTCCCCTACCTCTCTCTCTCTCTGTTTCTTTGTTTCTTTCTCTTTCTACGTATCGTTATCATTATCTATCTCTTTCATGTTCTTAATTTCTCTCTCTCTCACTCGCTCTCTCTCTCTCTCTCTCTCTCTCTCTCTCTCTCTCTCTCTCTCTCTCTCTCTCTCTTTCTTTCTCTCTCTCTCTCTCTCTCTCTCTCTATCTCCTGTGCCCGATTCCTGCGCGCTATCCCTCACTGTGCTTTTCTCGCTCTCTATATCTTTCCTGATTTCTCTCTCTCTCTCTCTCTCTCTCTCTCTCTCTGTTTCGCTCTGTCTCTCTCTGCTTCGCTCTCTCTCTCTCTCTATCTCTCTCTCTCTCTCTCTCCCTCCATCCCTGCCCCCACCCTCCCCTCCCTCCCTCCTCCCCCTCTCGCCCGCTCTTTCTGTATCTCAGTCTCTCTCTCTCTCTGTCTCTGTCTCTGTCTCTCTCTCTCTCTCTCTCTCTCTCTCTATTTCTCTATTTCTCTGTCTCTCTCTCTCTCTCTCTCTCTCTCTCCCTTACTTGGCGGATGGGCGGTGGCCGCATGGATGCCGCACGAGCCTCGTGGCGTTCACGCCGGCGAAGCGCCTGGCCACGTTGACCCATCCGCGAGATCGCCCGACCACGGGCCGCCTGACAACGACGCCTGGGAGAGCCCGGAAGTCGCCGGGGTCCAGCAGGACATCGCCGTCCGCAGGATCGGGAAGCGCGAGGCCCCCGAGGGCCGCGACGTCCAAAATGGACATCGACTAAGATAAAAGCCAAACGGCTGCAGACAGAAGATGATGTGGATGGAAAATCCCTGAGGTCCCTGAGGACAGGGTTGCGGCCTCTCGCCGATTGACTCTGGCTCACATGTTTTCCGTGCTCCCAAGACCACCCAAATGAGACAGGACTCCTCCCCGCGCCCTCCCCGACGAGAGGGAGCCCCCTTGGCGTCGGCCAGCCTGTCGGGAGCTCGTCAGTCAGTCAGTCAGTCAGTCAGCCAGTCGGTTAGTCAATGAGCCAGGCATCCCACGAGATGGTCGTTCGTTAAACGCCCCCCCACCCCCTCCGCAAGCACGACCTACAGCATCTAATGTTTGGCAAGTCGTTAGTCAATCACTCAGTCCGTCAGTCAACCAGTTCAATCAGTCAGTTAGTTCGTCAGTTAGTCAGCCAGTCAAACAGTCAGTTAGTCAGCCAGTCAGTCATTCAGTCATTCAGTCAGTCAGTCAATTAGGGAGTCAGTTAGGCATCCCCAGTCAAACACCCGCCTTTTTCACCTCCAAGCTCAACTGCATCATTCGCCTTTTCCCACTCCCCCCGCTCCCCCCCCCCGCCGCGGGGGCGGCGCTGTCCTCCGTGCGCTTCACGAAGCTCGTGATGTCGCCGTCGCGGCCAGCCGCGCGCGCCTTCTTGCGCGGCGCCACTGGCGAAGCCGACAGCGTGCTCTGGGCCCCCAGCTTGCGCCGCTTGGGCGCAGCAGGCTGCGCCGTGGACGACGCCCGGCGGCCCTTGGGGGCCATTCCGACGACGGGCGGCGCACGAGCGGCCCAGGGGAGCGGCAGCTGAAGCTGAAAGGCTGCGCGCATCACGTCGAGCCTCTTGACTGCAATCACCCCTCCCCGAACGCTCTGAACGACGGCGCAAAGCACAAGTCCACGGACGGCGGCAGCGGGGAATGAGAAATGACGAAAGAAAGAACGGCGGGGGATAGAGCGGAGGGGCCTTGAACGAATGAGAGGCCGTAAAACTTCGAACGTGAAAACTGCGGCCAGGACGTGGACACCGTGGCCCCTGGAGGCTATAGTCGCTGATTTCCAAGACTTGAATTCTTTTGTAATAATTCAAAAAACTCATATTTTTGAAAATATTTCTTTTATTGTTGGTATTTTTGGGGAAAAAAACTTTTACAAAATACAGCAAAACCTTTGACTGTGAACGGCGGGGCCCCTCAACGCATGGGCGTCGTACTCCGCCTTGTCGACGTGCAACGCCACCTCCTCCATCATGGCTCTCAAGGCCTTCTCCTGCTTCTGCTCCTCGGTGAGAGGGACGCCGTCCTTGTCGTCGTCGGCTCCCGCGAAGACGGCCACGAACGTGTCCCTGAGCATGTCGGGCTCTGGCGGGAAGCCGTGGCCACATAGGGAGCGCAGGCGAAGATGGCATTCACAATTGCGGCACTCAGAACTGCATATGGTTGGGTCCTTCGCCAGGATAATTTTACTATTTTTGAATAGCCCCCCTGTAGAGGGACAGGCCCGACTGAACCATAGTTTCCGGGCCATACCTCGGCTCTCCAGCGGCCGTTCGGGGCGATCTGGGCACGCCCAGAACGCTCCCCGCGCGGCGCAGCTGGTGGAGAGCAGCCCGAGGCCGGAGAACTGCCGAGCACCGACGGCTGATGTCCGAAGACCTCGAGCCTCGAGACGTCCCCCAGACGACCTCCCGCGCATTTGAACAAAAACAAGACGGAGGTTCTTCTCGATTTTCGGCCTCTAAGAGGCCCTCGCCGGGCCCCCGGACCGTCGAAAAAACGACTCAGGAGGAAAAACCGGTCCTGGGGAATTCGGGAGCGGCAAAGAGGGGGGTGTCCAAAAGGGGGGGTGCGAATCATGACCGGCGGCATGTGCGCGGCCCAGCGGGGGAGGGCCAGGGACGTAGTGAAAGAAGAAGAGGCGCCATGAAATCTGGGGGAACATCATGGCCCGCCATGAAATCCCCCCCCTTGTCATCACCCCCCTCTTTTCCGCCCCCGAGGAATGGGTCGAGACTTCGGGGGACCGCGCATTGAAGAAATCACGACGTCGGACATCTCTGGGCCTGCTGCTGTGGACCCTCCGTCCGCGCGGTGGTGCCCGGCCATCACCTCGCGGCCGGCCTGCAGCAGCTCGGCGCCGAGGCCCCCGGGAGCGGCGGCGCGGGAGTCCGCGGCGGCGCGGTGCCCGGCGATCACCTCGCGGCCGGCCTGCAGTAGCTCGGCGTCGAGGTCCCCAGGAGCGGCGGCGCCGCCATGAGGTAGAACATGCCGGAGGCGTCGCTCGGCGCCGGGCGGGGCGCGCCGTGGGGGGCGCCCGGCACGAGGCCGGCGAGCGCCCCGAAGTGCGGCAGCAGCTGCGCCGCCGGCTGCGGCAGGAGCAGCGGCTGCGGCGGGGCGGCGCGGCAGCCGCCGAGGGGCGCCGGGCAGCTCGCCGGCGGCCGCGTCGCGAAGACGCGCGGCGGAGCGGGGCCGCCCGGCGCGGCGCGGCGGGCGGGTGCGCCGCAGTGCCCGGGGGCGCCGCTGCCCGGAGAGCTCGCCAGCAGCGGCGCGGCGGGGCCGAGGCCGCTGGGGGCCCGCTCGGGGCCCGGCGGCAGGAGCCGCGAGTGGTGCGGCGAGGTGGGCGGCGAGGGCTGCGGCGAGGGCTGCGGCGAGGGCTGCGGCGAGGCGGTGCTGCGGGTGCTGCACGTGGAGCCGCACTCGTGCCGGTCGCGGACGATGCGCCGGAAGCTCGGGTTGCGCACCTTGGCCACGTGGGCCGAGGCCGCCTGCAGGGCGTTCGCCTCGTAGCCCTGGATGCGCGCGGGGGAGACGTTCAGGAGGGCGCCCTTGAACCTGCTGGTGCCGTGCCAGGCGTTGCGGAAGCGGGAGGCCTCGGCGGCGCTGCGGAAGTTCACGAACGAGTAGCCCTTGCATTGCCTCGAGGCGAAGTCCCTGGGCAGATAGCAGACATCATAGGCGCCCTCGAAGCCTGTCGCGGCCAGCTCGCGTACGAACTGCTGCTGCGTCAGCGCGGGGGGCAGGTTGCGCACCTGAGGAACCCAAAAGGTACCTACAGAGCCACTCCCCTGACCTCTTACGTGATGCGTTCCGACGGGAATTTCAAAAGGAATCCAGCGGTGGCGACGAGGTCCTCCCACGAGGCCCAGATGCAGAAAACGAGGGAAGGGCAGCGGTACCAGTACTTTTCTGAACATTTTCTTGGGGTGGAGGGCTCAGGGTGAAATCCAGATGGGCTTTTGCGCCTCGAAAATCAAGCCGGCTCGTGATTCACCTTCTGCAGATTCAAGCCTCGATTTGACCCTTTGCCCTGTACCCAAAAATTATCCCAGTGCGACCCTACCTAGGAGTTGGAACCCCTAGGAAAGCAGCATTAGTAGTAACAGTAACGCTAAGCTAAAGCTAAGCTAAAGCTAAGCTAAAGCTAAGCCACAGCTAAGCTAAAGCTAAGCTAAAGCTAAGCTAAAGCTAAGCTAAAGCTAAGCTAAAGCTATAGCTAAGCTACAGCTAAGCTCAAGCTAAGCTAAAGCTAAGCTAAAGCTAAGCTAAAGCTAAGCTAAAGCTAAGCTAAAGCTAAGCTAAACGCTAAGCGAACAACTAAGCGGAACGCTAAGCTAAAGCTAAGCTACAGCTAAGCTAAAGCTAAGCTAAAGCTAAAGCTAAAGCTAAAGCTCCCAGGGGACTGGGGGGAACTGCGGGGCGGGGACTGGGGGAACCGCCCGGGGCGCTTTACACTGCCCGGCCCCTTTAAGCTAAGAGAGTAAGAACCCTTCTAGGCAGAGCCTAGGTAGGGAAAAATGATGCTCGGCCTCTTCCTCCCGTTTGCGCACCATCATGGTCGTCGCCTCGCCGGACTGCCAGGCCTTCGCTGCGGTGATCCTCCGCTGGCGGCGCTCGAGGGCCAGCGCGCTCGCCTGCCCTGCCGCCCGCGACGGCCGCGGCGCGCCGGCGGCGGCACCCAGCTCTGGCGACGTGTCCTCTCCTCCTGCTCCTCCTCCTCCTCCTCCTCCTCCTCCTCCTCCTCCTCCCCCTCCTCCTCCCCCTCCTCCTCCTCCTCCTCCTCCTCCTCCTCCTCGTCCTCATCATCATCATCATCCTCCTCCTCTCCATCCTCCTCCTCCTCCTCCTCTCCTCCTCCTCCTCCCTCTCCTCTCCTCCTCCTCCCTCCTCCTCCTCCTCATCCTCCTCCTCCTCCTCCTCCTCCTCCTCCTCCTCCTCCTCCTCCTCCTCCTCCTCCTCCTCCTCCCTCCTCCTCTCCTCCTCCTCCTCCTCCTCCTCCTCCTCCTCCTCCTCCTCCTCCTCCTCCTCTCCTCCTCCTCCTCCTCCTCCTCTCCTCCTCCTCCTCCTCCTCCTCCTCCTCCTCCTCCTCCTCCTCCTCCTCCTCCCCTCCCGGCACCCAGCTCTGGCGACGTGTCCTCGCGGCGCCCGCCGCCCTCCTCCGGGTCCACTGGGAAGTCCGCCCAGCTCGGCCGCGACGCGCCCGAGTGGCGCGAGCTCGGCGGCCGGGGCCACGGCGCGACACCGCCCTCCTCGAGGGGCCCACTCTCCACCACCACGACCACAGGTAGAGGAGGGAGAAGGAGGAGGAGGAGGAGGAGGAGGAGGAGGAGGAGTAGGAGGAGGAGGAGAAGGGCCTCCTCATCCTCCCTTCTCCCCCGTCCTACCTGTGGCTGCGGTGGCAGAAAAAAGTTGGCCGATCGCTCCTCGCGCGCGGGCGAGGCCGCGGAGGCCGGGGTGAGCTCGCCGCCGCCGCCGCCCGAGTCCTGGCTCGCGCCCTCCGGGGGCCCGCGCCGGGTCGAGTCGCCCAGGCCGCAGCCGAGCTCCGTGCAGGAAGAGGCCATGGCCCCCGGTGCGCGCGGGAGGGCGGGAAGACTCCCTGTGACGATCGAACAACACGCACCCATAGCCCTAGGGGGGACGGAGGAGGCTATGGGTGCGCGTTGTCGGATGGGGGTCCCCGCTCGAACGGGAGCTTCCCCCAGGGTCCGACAACTCGCACCCATACCCATAGCCAGTTCCCCTCCTTTCGACCCTCCTATGGGTATGGGTGTGAGTTGTTCGCTCGTCACCTTGTGCGAATACATTGGAGGCCAGGCCACCAAGAAATCTTCCACGAGAGACCCAACCCTGAGGCCCTAGGACGTCCATGGATGCCTGGCGTGGGAGGATCACGCCTCCCACAGCAGAACCATCGAAACCCGAGAAACCCAGGGCACCCTGGAGGCAAGCAGGGTGTTTCGTGGAATGGGTCTCCACTGTAAGCGCGTGCGCCTTCGGCAAGTGCCCGGGTGGACCGCAAGCTCAGGCGCCGCGAAGAGGTGCCAACTCGGGTCCGGAGAGTACGGCTTGAGCTGAAATGGAAGCGGATCTCGGGAGGTCCATCTCCGGGCTGTCTTGGGCCATATGGGCCAGCATTCGGCCCCTCTTGGGGTCCTCCCTTGCGGTCTCTGGGGGCCATGCTCGAGCCCTCTCAGGCCCTCCTGGGCCCTCGTGGGGCCATATGGGAATCCTCTTGGGGCCTCTTGGGGGACTGGGCAGTCTTGCGGAATATTGAGGCCCTGTTGGGCTGTACGGAACTCCTCCAGAACCCATTTTCAAAACTTTTAGGGGTTATCCAGGGACCTTCTGGGGGCCTTCTTGGGGCCCCTTTGAGCTCAACCTGGCTCCTCCAAACCCCCATGGGAGCCACATACTTCAAAAGTGCGGAATCCCCACACCGAACATAAACATAGAAAACGGATGGAATTCATCACGCGCTCGTCAGATGTTGGCCGTCTAGGGATTCACTTGGGCCCTTTTTGACGCTTCTTGGAGTTGTCTTGGGACCTCCCTGGTGCCTCTAGGGCCCAATGGGCTCTATTGAACTCGTGCACGAACCATCTTGGGACATCTAAGGGCAGTCGGGCCGTTCTTGGGGTTTCCGGAACCTCCCGAAGGAACCCAAAGGACGCTCCGGGGAGGCTCCGTGCAGGGAACGGGACCCAAATACACTCTTGGTGCCCTGGGTGCGGGCGGGGATTCGGGTGTTGCTGGAAATGGCCCTAGCCCAAAAGGCCCCGGGTTCTTCCCGTCATTTTGGAGACCCTGAAACCCCTTGGGCCAAGTCAGGGAAAGTTTTGGAAGTCATCCTGGCCTCCCTGGAAAAAACAGAGCCGCTGTGAGCCGGGGTCGCCACTGGCAGCTCTCGGGGGAGAGGAAGCGGAGCCCTGGGGCCAGGGGTCGCGCGCACGAGAGATAGCAGGGCCCCGTAAACCTGGACATGCTAGACGGAGACATCAAACATCCTTCGAAATCAGTCTTTCCAGACGGCGCCACAAAAAAAGCAATGCAACACTCCCACAATAAACCCAAATATAGGCCTCACAAGCCTACAAAACTCACATTAGACCTGGACCAAGACACGAATCCTGCAGCGCAGCCCAAAACATACACTGGCCGGCCAGACCTGACTTTGCAGGAAAGGGTATCGCTTTCCCGACTTGCCCATGTCGCGGTTAGTCTGTGTCCTGGTCTCTGGGGGCCTGGAAATAAGAAAGCAAATAAAGGTCGGTCGCGCCCGCCCCTCGGCACGAACGTTTCCTGCAGCACGCTCCCGCGCACCTGGCGGCGGCCAAGCTGCGACTACGATTACGACTGCGACTACGGCCACGACTACGACTACGGCTACGACAACTACGAGTACTACTACTACTACTACTACTACTACTACTACTACTACTACTACTACTACTACTACTACTACTATTACTACTACTACTACTACTACTACTACTACTACTACTACTACTACTACTACTACTACTACTTAATACTACTACTACTACTACTACTACTGACTACTACTACTACTACGACTACTACTACTACTACTACTACTACTACTACTACTACTACTACTACTACTACTACTACTACTACTACTACTACTACTACTACTACTACTACTACTACTACTACGACTACTACTACTACTACTACTACTACTACTACTACTACTACTACTACTACGACTACTACTACTACTACTACTACTACGACTACGACTACGACTACGACTACTACTACTACGACTACGACTACGACTACGACTACGACTACGACTACTACTACGACTACGACTACGACTACGACTACGACTACTACTACTACTACTACTACGACTACGACGACTACGACTACGACTACGACTACGACTACGACTACGACTACGACTACTACTACTACTACTACTACGACTACTACGACTACTACTACTACGACTACGACTACGACTACGACTACGACTACGACTACGACTACTACTACTACTACTACTACTACTACTACTACTACTACTACTACTACTACTACTACTACTACTACTACTACTATACCACTACCACTACCACTACCACTACCACTACCACTACCACTACCACTACCACTACCACTACCACTACCACTACCACTACCACTACCACTACCACTACCACTACCACTACCACTACCACTACCACCACTACCACTACCACTACCACTACCACTACCACTACCACTACCACTACCACTACCACTACCACTACCACTACCACTACCACTACCACTACCATACTATTACCATGATGGCGAACTCTGGTTCCTGTGCGCCGCCCGCCATGGGAACTCACCCTCCCCTTTGGGCCCAACGCGGAGATGGCGACCCTTGATTCCTGGGTCCCGCTCGCCACGAGGACCCGCCCTCCCCCATGGCCCCAGCGCGGAAATGGCGACCCTTGATTCCTGGGTGCCGCGCGCCACGAGGACCCACCTCCCCCGTGGCCCAACGAAGAAATGACGCCTTGATTCCTGAATACCGTACGCCGCGGGGACCCACACCCCTACGTGGCCCCAGCGCGGAAATGGCGACCAGTGGTTCCTGGGTGCCGCTCGCCACAGGGACCCACCCTCCCGTGTGGCCCCAGCGCGGAGATGGCGATCTGATTGCTGGGTGCCGCTCGCATTGGGACCCGCCCTCCCTCGTGGCCCCAGCGCGGAGATGGCGATCTGATTGCTAGGTGCCGCTCGGAGATGGCGACCTTTGACTCTTGGGCGCCGCTCGCCACGGGGACCCACACTCCCCGTGGCCCCAGCGCGGGGATGGCGACCTTTGACTCCTGGGTGCCGCGCTCGCCACGGGGACCCACCCCCGTGGCCCCAGCGCGAGGATGGCGACCTTTGGCTCCTCCCTGATTCCTGATTCCTGGGCGCCGCTCGCCACAAGGACCCACATCCTTGAAATGTCCATGGCACGGTCGGCGAGTCTTAATCCTTGGCCCGTTGACAGAACAAGCACCTGTGACCTTAAGACCACACAGCGACCCTCCGATCTAACTGATCACGCAGCTTCTGGACACAGCCCCATCGAACTTCAACTTCCCGCGTCGTGACCCGCACCTTCTTGGCGGCGTCCTCCGTTTTGTGAGCCTGGCGAATATTTTCTGCATCTGCATGTGCAGCAAGCTGCGACGGCGTCCACATTTGCACTGGTTCAGGCGCAGGCACGAACTTTGCAAAATCCATCTGCAACTCAGGCCTGAACGCGAGAAGTTTGACAGCAGCATCTCGAAGCTCCGGTAGAACTCCTGCATCTTCAGCGCGCAGGGCCTGGCGGTCGCCACCACCGCCACTGGTGACCGCAGGCGGCGGGGACCCCCCACTTTGGTAGGCTCCACCACACATGGAGCACGATGGCTGCACATAGCACGTCCAGTCCCCAATGTTTCGACTAGGCGCGCACCTCGTACGTCCTCTGGACGCGACGCCTGGGCCACGAGCCCATGGAACACCCACTTCTCACGAGCGGCGCCGCCCTCGCCACCAGCGCGATCGCCAGTGTGCTAAGGACAAAACTTGGTACCCGCCATGCCGCGACAGGGACCCGAAGGTGCGAGAAGGGAACTGTTTTTTGGTCTGCGGGTCGGGAGCGGGCCCCTTCCGGTCAAGAGCCAAACGGGGCGCGGGTAGCCTGAATTAGGGAGACAAGGCGCGGGCGGGCGGGGCCTCAGGCGGCCGGAGGGCTCAGAGTACAGGCGGTGCCGAAGATCTTGCACAGGGCAAGGTGCGCCAAGGACTGGAGCAGGGGGCGAGGTCCCAGAGGGAGAGTGGATTGGTGTTGCCGCCATCGGCGCGCCAAAAGCACCATCCTCGAGTGCTGCGTGAGGAGGGCCGTGAGCAAGTCAACGTCCGCGAGGTAGAGGAAGACCAGGAAGGCGAAAGCGAGAAGGGAACACAATGCCCTTGAAAAGAATGAGAAGTCGCGGATCAGACGTGCCCGTGCTCCGCCACGGGCAGAAGTCATCTTGAGCCAAAACGGTTACGGGCAGACGACGGGGAGGACAAGGGAAGAAGGACAAGAAGGATGGGAAGGAGGAGGAGCACAAGGGGAAAAGGTGGAGACGGAGGGGACAAACGACGACGATGAGCAATCAAGCAATGTCATGATGCCCATGAGAGAGTATTCCAAACAACAAGCCGCACGGTGCAAGCCCAAATTTATGAGGCGCGACACTTTGCCAATCGTCATAAGCCTCGAGGCAGAAAGAGCGCGCTCACCTCAAAGGTGCACTGCCCCCTTTGGGAGGCGCCTGTAATGTAAGCAAGCACGCACGTCAACAAGCCCCCCCTCCGAGGCTGAAACGTTGTCCCCCGACCACCCTTCGGCTGACAAGGCACAACTCAAGCTGGCACGGCAATGTCTGGCTGAAATGGGCTACTACCCGCGGGAAAAATTCTGCATGACTAAACTGGTTCCTTGAACCCCTCGCTGCTAAACCAGTCAAACCCCGTGTGCTCAGAGCATGCTGCTCTGCAGACTGGTGCGGGGTCGAAAGGCGGAAGCGCAGGATGGCACTGGGCGGGAAAGCGCGCGACGAGGAGAAGGGATTACACAACCGCGAGCGCCCCGCCCTCGCTCATCCGCCCTTGCCCAGAGCCTCGAGAAAGGCTTGTGTTGTTGGCTTGATTTCTCTGCATATATGATAAAATGTAATATCATATGATTTGATATAATATAGTATAGTATAATATATACTATATATTACGATAAGAGTAATACCATTATATTTGCAATCGTGGAATAGAATAAGGGATATTCCGCTCCATCGGGGACTGCGGGGCCGAACCCGCTCGGCCACCAAGAAACTCAAGCTCGGGCCGCTGTCCGGCGGCCGAGGCCTCGGCAACTCCGCGCCTGTGCTCGAGGGGCTCTGACCAGGGTGCGAAGCAACCAACCAGGTCGACCAGACTACGGCACAGAGAAGGAGGAGGAATATGGAGGAGGAGGAGGAGAAGGAGGAGGAGGAGGAGGAAGAGGAGGAAGAGGAGGATGAAGAGGAGGAGGAGGAGAACACGCA